AACATTGCCCTCATTTCCACCCTGGGATTATGCATCCAGAGCAGGTGGGTTTATCACTGATCGCTTCCTAACAGGCCTTCGCCCTCAAGAATATTACTTCCATTGCATGGCTGGTCGTGAAGGGTAAGGCAAAGTTTTAACTTTTCTTTTTTCCATTTGTAGTTGTTTTATCTTCCCTTGAAATTCTTTTTGATGTTTTCCAATTTTCCTGATCATATAAGAACACTAAAAATAATGCAATTTTTTTGGGACTTGTTAGTATAATTAAGCGGCACCTAAGATTATTGGGAAAATGAATCTCGAACTTAAGAGTGATATATTTCTTGGATATCTTCTTCCTTCTATGTCCAACTTTTGATTTTTTTTGTCCACAGGCTAGTTGACACTGCGGTGAAAACATCCCGAAGTGGATATTTACAACGGTGCTTGATTAAAAATCTTGAGTGCCTGAAAGTCTGTTATGATTATACAGTTCGGGATGCTGATGGTTCCATTGTTCAATTTTACTACGGAGAAGATGGTGTTGATGTGCACCAGACGAGCTTTCTGAATAATTTTAAGGCGCTGGAAGATGTATATTTTATTATCTATTCATAATTTTTTTCCCCTTTGTTTGAACTATTTTAGTTTTTTTGACATGCTAAGGGGATTGACCTGTGTTGCCCTCTCATTATTATGGTTCAGAATCGAGAAACTATTTGCCAGAAATTCCAAGAGCAGCGCGAGTTCAATACTTACATTGAAAAATTGCCTGAAGGGCTTGAACAAGAAGCTAAGCGCTTTGTTAGCTCGACTGAGAAGCTACATAAAAAGCGTAATGGGAAAACGAAGGAACATCAATCAAGCAAGAAAAAGGAAAGAGAGCAAAAGAAGTTCTTAGAGCTGATTAAGCAAAAATATCTCTCAAGTCTTGCACCATCAGGAGAACCGGTTGGCGTCATTGCTGCTCAATCCATAGGTGAACCATCGACTCAGATGACGTAAGAATAATTCAGCTTGATTTCTGATCACTCAATAATCAAAATATTGAAATGCAATTAATTGATTACAGTAATTTCTTTGCATCTTTCTAACTGTCACTAACTGATTTCGGAAACTTCTTCGTATTTTACTCTTTTACTCATGTCTAGATTTCAAAGCTCGCCAAATACGAGTGTCATCATACAAATTATTTGTATGATTGATTATTTACAGTGCAATATTGAGACTGCTCATCTTCTTAACTCGATACCTTTGTATCATTTTAGACTCAACACTTTTCATCTGGCTGGCCGTGGTGAAATGAATGTGACACTCGGTATTCCTCGTCTCCAAGAGATTCTGATGACTGCATCAGATGTTATTAAGACTCCCATCTTGACATGCCCCTTTTCAGACTGGAGATCCAAGTAAGTTGCCTATACTTCACACTTAAGCTACTATTCAAATATAGATATGCCTACAAATTGTAGCTAAAGTGTTGAGTTCCTTTCTTCCCCCTATTGAATCAACAAAATAGAATCATAAAACTGTCGACATTCTGAAAACGGTATTATATTGTGAAGACTCTCTAAATTCTATTTTCCCAACAGCCGTGAACTTTTTTTTTTTTTTCCTTACATGTTTCATTTTTCTCAACTGCAGGCAGGACGTGGTATCTCTCGTTTCCCATGTGCGGAAAATCAGTGTAGCAGATTTAGTGGAGAGCATGGAAGTCCATGTCGTGAACCACCACCACAAAGTGTCCAGATTGTACCGTCTGATTATCAAACTCAAGGAGACTGAATTCGTGCCGTTGGCCGACATACACGAAACCCTCAAGTCTACTTTCCTGAGGGCATTGGAGGACGCAATAGAGAGCAACGTCAAAGTCCTCGAGAAAATTGTCGGCATCAAGAACGTCACGTCCAGCTCGTCATACGACGACGAAGATGCTGACGTGGACGAATCAAATATGGCCACACGGGAAGCAAATAACGATGATGATGATGATGAAGATAACGATGATGATGACATGGGGGATGACCTCGGCGCGGATGCACAAAAGAGAAAACAGCAGGCTACAGATGAGGTGGATTATGATGACGGGTTTGAAGACGAGGATGATTTGCACGAGATGGGTGGCGTAAGTGATGGAGAGGGTGATATTGGAAAAAAGAGAGAAGATGAGGAAAACGGAGAGTCTGAAGACGAGGGCCGAGGAGTTTCTGATTTTGTGGCGGAAGCTAACATGGGGGGCAAAATGGGAAATGACGCAGTGGATGACTGGGGTGACAAGCCGATTATAGTGACATCCCAGAAAAGAGAATGCAGGGCTATAACGATGGAAGTTGAAGGGCTGTCATACACGGTCGAGTTCAGGCTCACCAGGGAACCTCATGTTTTGCTTGCTCAGGTACTTTTTGTGCTCTGCTGTTTGACTTTTTTTCACGATTCTCGTTATACATCTGGGAGTGATGTCGCTGGTGGCAAGGTGAAAAGTGGTCATATTTATATTCAGCAGATGGTGTTTGCTGCCTATGGTGGAACCAAATTGAGTATATATGTGTGTTACACAATATACTTAATATACACATGCAATGAAAGTGCATGTATATATATATATATATATATATAAAATGCTGTAAAATCTTGAAATGCCTCGTGAGCTATAGCTTAATAGAGGTAGTGTTATTTTTTGCTTATGCATCACAATCTCTAATTTCTCGGTCAGATAATAATAGTAATAGTAAACTAAAGAAAAGGAGCAAAGGCAGAACAAAAAGGAAACTGATCTCCACGCGTAGAATGAGCAAAAGGAGCCATAGAAAGCGAATAAAATTAGAGCGTCAAGAAAATGAAACTAAATTCCCGAACGAGGGAAATGAAAAGAAAAATTGAGGGTAGTTCACAGGATGCTATGCCAACGAAAAAAATTCTCTCCCAGTTTTGGTGATCGGGGAAAAG